ACTCAGATTATTGTGTTGCATTCCGTAGGATTATCTCAAGTGCAAATAGCAAAAAAAATAAAATGCTCCCGTTGCGCAGTTCAAACTACAATAAAAAGATATAATGATACTAAACAGTTTAAATACAGATCTGGAAGAGGAAGAAAACGAAAGACTACTGCCAGAGAAGATCGATATTTAAAGCAAAATGCTCTAAAAGATAGTGTTATTTATTTCCTTATATATATATATATGTATACACAACCCTTCTCTTTCTCTCTTTGGCGTCGCGTCGTGACGCGATGGATGCCGCGAGCCGCGACTCGTGACGCGCTCAGTGGAAACGTAACCTATTGCGCGCAGATGGTGTGTCGGTTGCTGCAGCCATATATTGCATCATCTTGTAGAGACCGGTCACTGCAGCCATATTGCATTATTATCTTGTACAGACCAGCTAAAAATCAAGAACAGTTACAGAGCAATTACAGAGACTCATTGCATGTGCACGTACAAAGGCTGCTGGTAAGCGCCTATATATGTATATATTTCATATTTATCCATATGTATACGGCTCGCTACACATAGTCGTGATCGTTATCGACTCTGTGTTAGATTCTCACGCGAAGAAGAAGGCTCACTACACATCACACTGTGTATTGCTAAAAACGTAAGTATATTGTTCTAGAATCTATTATCTAGAATCTATTATCTGTATTCCAAAATATATCAAGGTAATATATCTATTACCGCCAAACAAAATCATGTCTAGGGCATCAAGTTCATCACTGCAAAAAAAAGTCGTTTCTAAGTCACCATTAGTTTCATCTGAAGAAAAAATGTCACATAACGTGACGCGTCTGCAATCCGGTATGTTATTGTATTTTTATTAATATTACGTGTAAATTAAGTTTTTATAATTATAAATTTAATATTATAATAGCGCATCACACAACATTATATTCGTTATACAGTTATGTATCTGTGCAATTAAGCGCATTTTTACTTGTATTTTACAAATTTGCTTTAATGCGCCAAATGCGAACGATTGTATAACATTCTTATAAGAAAAATGTTTAATATATTTCTTTCATGTGTTACAAAATCATGTCATTGATGATACATTATTTTATTCAAGCAAGCGGAGAAAAAAACATGGGCCGGACAGAAACCGACTACCAGATACTGGAATCTTCAGTATCCATGCAGGCAAAAATGAGACAAAAAGGAATCGGCAATACACGTAAAAAATAATTCATATATTAAAATAAATGTGGGCAATAAACGTAAATTCTAACGTTTTATTTAGAAAATTGTACATCTATTTCCCAGCATTTGAAAAAGAAGTTTTAAAATCTCAGATGTTACTGAAAACTGCGATGTATGAAATAATGGATACACTTAACGACTTAAGCGACGATTTCCTGCAACAATCATGTAAACATTGCAAGGCAAGACGCATTGAAAAAACAAATTTGTTGCCTTAGTTTCTAGTTACTACGATGGAGGAACTAGAGGCTTTAGAAGATATTTTAATGGACAAACCAGAAGCATCGAACTTGTAAGTTTTACACATGTTCTGTATCTTACCTATTCTAAACCCAAAAATAAAAAATAAATAATATTCAAAAAACTAATGAGAGTGACGGCGCAGTTTACAAACGCATAATTTGATGAAACAATTCTAATACATACTATAATGTTTATTATACGCCGAGACATTACCAGTGTCTCCAAATAAACAAACAAATTTAATAAACATTATAGTATGTATTAGAATTACTAATTGTGTCATCGAATTATCCGTTTGTAAACTGCGCCGTCACTCTCATTAGCCTTTTGAATATTTTTAATTTAGAGAGTCCATTTCAATTTCATTATAAAATAATTCTTATAAAAATCTTATATTTTTATTGTGTGGAATTTTTTGACAGTCTTTAATTTAAACTATTATTGCGGACGTCAGTTGCGGTTGCAGTTGAAGGCTTCTTAATATATTAATTATAATATGTGTTAATAGGCCCAGTTGTTTGAAACGCAAAGACACAAAGATGCCCTGAGCACAATAAGGCGAGGGTTACTACTACTTTTTCACCCTCTCTTAGCAAGCAAAATTTCATGGAAAGGATACAATAATAATTTCAAGTTCGAAGACACGAAGACTGCGCAAATCTTGTGTGGTAAGTAATACGTAGTTCAGAATGTTATGTAAGACAGGGACAATCTAGAATGGAAACTGTCGGCACGGTAGCCAGGGGAACTTGGAACGCCGTTAGGGTGGCTTAGGGGAGTTTCAGGAGAGTCGAGGAGAGTCGGCGACAACGTCGACGACGAGGGCTTTGAGCTTTAGTCTCGATAACAGTATATATAGCTTTATTCAGAGTCACTGCCGGAACCACAACGTCCTGTGGTGCACACTACAAGAGTCTTCTTCCAAATGATGCCCCTTTTGTAGGGTTAGCTCGTATGCTCTCCAATCGGAGAGCGTTTACAAAAGTAAGTGCAATCAGGTGCCATCGCTGCGGCGCTACTTGGCAGAAAGCCAATCAACGTTGAGGAGGACTGCGCGCGCATACGGCGCGGTGATTTACTAACGGAAAGTCTAGTTATTGAGGCCGTTTCTTACAGCTCGGCCATTCTGCGTAAGCGTTCGTCCCGAACGGGTAAAAATAAAAACTGAAATTATAGAAACGGTTCCCGTATAATAAGTATACACTTTTTTTTCTTTAGATACTTAAAATTATGATTATAAAACAACAAAAGAAATTAGCTTATAATTAATTAAACGTATACATTTACTTATGATATTATTATCTTACGGATTACATCACAAGGTTTATGGTCCACTGAAGGGCTCACAGTTTCTTAGACTTAACTTTGTATAAGGTTTGGCAATCCTGACTAGGAAAATTGCTATTGATTAAGTTAGAATGTAAGATTTAGATTAGGTTGCTGTTGTTCCGTTTTCATGGAGTTTGATAGGTTTGATCCAATATTTTATTCTATCTGGTGAGAGAACGGAATTATACGGTTTTGCTGTTAGGTTGAAGCCTGGCATGTCTGTAACGACCTATTTTTATCTAAGATTTTACTGATCATGTATGGTCCGGTAAAAAGGGGTTTGAATTTCCCGCTATTAGACGCTTTTGTTCCACGGTTATGGATGCTTACATAGTCGCCTAGTTTATATTTAGTAGGAGTTTTGTGTTTCTTATTTTAATATATTTTATTGTACCGCTTGAGTTGGTTAGTTGTATCTATCGCTAGTTGGCGTGCCTGCTCTCTATCTTCGATATAATGTAGATCAGTCTTGGTTAATTTGACTAGATAATCTACTAGCTTTGCATCTACGTGGTTACGTTGATCGTAGCCTAAAAGAAGCTTGGACGGTGTACTCTTAAAAGTGTTTATGCTAGGGTTCACGAGTTCGTTGTCAACGTAATACGGTGCTTTTTCGCGGTCTTACGTTAATCAGCCCTTATCAGGGCTTTAGTTTGCGTATATTTGCTTTGTTTCGTACTTTAGTGGTCGAGCCCTGTTCTATCGTACGTACAGAGCGCCGGGAAATTTATTGCTTAACCTCGTTCCGGCTTCCCGCGCAGAGGCATGGCCTCGGACTCGGGGGGAAGCAGTGACCAAAACTCAAATCGCAGTGTTTCCTTCTCCCTTCAACCTCCTACATTGGTGATTAATCCGTCTATACAGACAAATTCCTCACCTATTAATATGAGTTCTAATGATTCCAGCGACCTTTCTAGCTCGATGCTTAAATCGCTATTTGACGAAGCAGGCTTATCTGATGTAACAACATGCAATTCCAATAAAGAAATTGCGTCATCATCATCACCCCCACCATCATCAGATGGCTCTCAGGTAATGATCTCAAGTGATCTTAGCATGGAAGTGGACGAAGTTACAAATACTAGGAAGCGCCATTCTTCCGAGGAGATAGAAGCACAGGGTCGTTCCTCGACCTCTCCCCCAAAGCGATCTACTGTTTCGACATCTTCCACTTCGAAATCACGAGTCTCTCCAAGGCCAAAAAACGCGGAAGACGCGCTCGGTGCGTGCTCTCAGGATTCTACTAGTGCTGCAGCTAACCTCAAATCTGCACCTAAATATCGCCCTCAGGACAATGGTCCCTACGCGGTCTACGTTTACGACCTAAATCGTGAAAAGGCTACACACCCGTTTGTCATCTCAAGTATCATCGCTAACTCAGGTATCCCAGATATCCAGGAGATTAAAAAAATTGGTAAAGGTAAAATTCTTATAGAGGCGAAATCTGCTACTGCCGCTAATAGGTTAGTAGACAATCCTACATTTTCTAAACATAACCTCAAAGCTTTTATACCAGCCTTTAGAGTCATCAGAGAGGGTGTCATCCAAGATGAGCCTGTCGAACTCGAACTAGAATATATCCACAGACACATTGAAACGCCAACTGCAAAAATCTTGGACATTCATAGATTAAATAGAAGAATCACTATAAATGGTAAAAGCGAATACGTTCCTTCCAAGACGCTTTGTATTAAATTTGCTGGACAAGCTCTTCCAAGAGACGTGTTCCTGTTTAAAATCAGACATGAGGTACGACCCTATATACCTAAATCTTGCATATGCTTCTCATGCTTTAGAGTTGGACATATAGCCAAAGTGTGCAAGGGCCCGCCTAGGTGTCTATATTGTGGAGATAGCGATCATGAAAATGAAGACTCTTGCCCATCAAGGAATGGCGAGACCGACGCTGTATGTATCAATTGTAAGGGCTCACATCTCGCTACCTCCAAAGACTGTCCGATAATCTCTAAGCAAGATAACATCATTAAATTGGCAGCTGTCGAAAATATCTCCATAGCGGATGCTAGGAGAATTATCAACAACCAAGGTTCTTTTACTCGCTACGGCTCTGGATTGGACTCTCAAGATTTTCCACGGCTAAACTCTAAAACACCATATAACTCTTCAAGTTCACCCAGCTTTATATCTCCTAACCCTTTCAACCTTTTAGAAGCAGAAGACCAAGATTATGGACGTATATCTTATGCTGAAGCTGCTGGCTCACGGCCGGCAAGCACTACGCAGCAGGCTTCTTCTCACAACGGGAGCAGTTATCATCACTCGTCACACGGTTTAACAAACCACCTGAATATCAGCCAAAAGAGGGTCAACAACCCGGGTTACGATAGAAGAGCTCATCAAGAAGCACTTAATAACCCTCAGGCGGCTTACGGCTACTCTAACGCAAGAGGTATGGCTTATCAATCTGCCCCCCCTCCCCCTCCTCAGCGTGGTCCCGGAGAGCCCAATCTTTTTGAATTTGCCAAATATATTCCGGAACTTATTAATTTAATTTCAGAGATTGCTAATTGTTTTCGCAATCACGATTTTTCTACACTGGTGAATATTATCATTTCGTTCATACAGAATTACACATCTTCTAATAACTATAGATATCCCACTGGTGATATTAACACCCCCTCTCATCGCAACAATCATAATGATTACTCTATTTCATATAATCCAACAGGTTCCCAAAGCCAGGACTTTGCGTATCCTGCTTCTAACTACCCACATGACAATTTTCGGAACTGGAATTCTTCAAAGAAGTTCTAACTCTCCCACCATGAATACACACAAACAAATTCATCATAGTAGAGTTGTGCCTCAATCCTCTCGCAGGCAGCCTCCCTCTGCTGGTATAAGAATTATCCAATGGAATTGTAGAGGTGCTAGAGGCAACCAAGGTTCATTGGTATTGCTGGCTAAAGACTATGACATAATCTGTGTTCAAGAATCTTTGCTCAAACCAGATTCTAATCTGAAGATCAAGTCCTTTCGTGCTGTCAGGAATGACATTGTCCTTGCAGGACAATGCGGCATTTGCACATTCATCAAAGACAACATTAAATTTGAGATCATTAAGCTGCAAAATATCGATCACCCGTCTGTAGAATTTCACGTCATTAAATTAATTACCTCTAGAGAGCCGATTATCTTGGTGAACATGTACAGGCACCCTGGCCAGGACACTCCACTCACTTTCTACCAAGACCTTCTAAATGCCCTCAAGGAATTTAATCTTTTACTCATGACTGGAGATTTCAATGCCCACCACCCTAATTGGGGTTGTCCTTCTCGTTCTGGTGCAGGCAACAGGCTACTAAAAGCTATAGAAGAATTTGATCTTGTAATTTTAAATGATGGCTCTCCCACTTTAATACATCATTCCGCACAAAACTCTATTATCGATCTCTCCTTGTCTTCTCCTGTTCTTGCTCCTATCTGCTCCAGTCATGTTTTGGACGATACGTTCGGTAGTGACCACTTTCCCATTTGCACAAAAATTAACGTGATGCCTTGCTATTCCAAGAAATTCTGCTATAAGCTTAAATTGAATAAGGATCAACTGACTACATTAAATTCCATGCTTAGGAATTCTGTCAACGAAATCTCAGGAAAAGAAACCCTGGACATTACTTCACAATACAACCTATTTGTTGAACATGTTCAATCTACAGTCAGAGGATTACTTCCTCCGGACAAGGGGGTGCCACATAGTAAGATAAACTCTTGTCGCTTGAAATCTCCTCCTTAGTGGAATGATGACTGTGATGCTGCAGTCAAAGATAGGAGAAAGGCGCTCAGAGAGCTCGTTGAGTGCCCTGACAGAGCTCGTCTCGATAATTTTAAGTCCGCTAGGAAAAGGTGTACAGAATGCATACAAGAGGCAAAACGTATCGGTTGGAGGAAACTTGTTGGCGATTTTAATTGCAAAACTTCAACGCATCGCATCTGGTCTCTTATTAAAAGTTTCAGGCGAAACAAAAACCCTACCTTGAATCAGGTCAATAATCTTGACACAGTCTCACTCGCCGCCATTGAAAAACTCTGTCCTCCCTTTTGTCCATACAACGATATCAAACATATTGAAGACATGAAACGAGAGGATCTTCTTCAAAATAATGCACAACAATGGTTAGAAGAACCCTTCTCAAGAGTCGAACTTACTAGGGCTATTAGTGTGGCTAAAAAACGTTCTGCTCCAGGTTTGGATCAAATAGATCATTCCATCATTTCCAGATTGCCTGATGAATATATTACTAGACTACTTGAATTGTACAATCAAATACTAGCACAGGGAGTTTTACCGGACTCTTGGAGGGATTCCCTAGTCGTTCTTATTCCCAAAACTGATGGGAAATCAGTACGCCCAATTTCTCTTCTATCATGTTTTGCCAAATTAATGGAATACATGATATATTTTAGACTTAGATGGTTTATTGAATCACGTCCTCTTCTTCCGCAAACGCAGTCAGGCTTCCGACCAACCAGATCTTGCATAGATAACCTTGTGACTCTCACCTCTAATATCAGAACAGGCTTTATTAAGAAATCTCCTACTGTAGCAGTATTTCTCGATATCGCGGGAGCTTTCGATAATGTTATTCCTCACATTCTAATCAAAGACTTATATGAAATTGGCATTCCCGCCTCTATTAGAAGGTTCACTGAAAATTACATCTCTATGAGGCGTCTTCATTTCGTGGTCGACGGTTCTCTCTTAGGACCTTTTAATTCTTGTAAGGGCACACCTCAGGGCTCCACACTCAGTCCTATGCTTTTCAATATCTACCTTAAAGATATCAATAATCACATTCACTCGGAATCCCGTATTTTGCAATATGCTGACGATGTTGTCATATATTCCACCCAACGGGACATTGACTCAGCTATCTCATCTGTGCAAAAATCGATTGATAATATTTATACATATCTAAGATACAGAGGCCTCGAACTGTCGCCGTCTAAATCAAGATATATTATATTTTCTCGCACCAAAGGTTGCTCTGAGGTTCCTAATATTCAAATTTCAAACACACATATTCCCAGAGCTTCTACACACAAATTCCTGGGGGTTGTCTTAGATGACAAGCTGTCGGATACTCCACACCTAAAGGCCCTCATAGAGAGAGGTAAGAATATTGTCAATATAATTTCTTCTTTGGCTGGTGTCAAATGGGGCTCACATCCTGAAGTATTGCTTACGGTATATAGGACAACTCTTAGAAGTGCTATTGAATATGGAGCGCAGGTCTTTTCTTGGAACCCGGAGTCTGAAAACTTTGTTAAACTTCTCAGAATTCAGTATAAGGCTATTAGAAAGGCTATGGGATATCGGATTTCCACCCCCATCAATGCCATGCTGAGGGAGGCAAGGGAACCTCTACATTTAAGATTCTCCTACATTACATCCAAATACATATACAAAGCTATGGCTAACAAATTTAGTACATCATATGAAGCCCTTAAAGAACTTGAACTTACAGCCATCCAAAAAAATCAGAAACTGAAGACCATCAAAAGTTCTAATCTCTTCAAGTCTTATATTACACATCTTCCAGACAAGAAAATCACGCATCGCACCACATACCCTCCAGCCTTCTGGCACGAATTTGAAGTCATGGCCAACCCTGTCACTTATATCGGCAACATGCTTCTGTTTCATTCAAAGGACGCCCCCCACGCTACGGCTGCCATTTTTCCGGAGATTTCACTAGAATACAGAATGAATGCTATCTCTATTTATACAGACGGTTCCAAGGAACCTGATTGTGCTGTCGGAGCTGGAGTATACTCCCCTGATCTGAATATCAGCATTAAACATAAACTACCGAGTGAAACCTCTATTTTCTCAGCGGAACTCTGGGCTCTATACCAAGCCGTCCTTCTCGCCAGAGATTGTGGAAACAACAAAGTTGTCATTTTTTCAGACTCCAAGAGCGCACTGGACGCAATCAGCAATCATCACTACATACAGAACAACTACATTGTCTACTACATCAAGCAAAACATTCTTCTGGCCACGCAGCAGGGAATCACAATCACCCTTTTCTGGATCCCATCTCATGTGGGTATTCTGGGAAATGAAAAAGCGGACGAAACTGCCAAATCTGCCTCTATAACTGGACTCTCTACTGCCTTCAGGATTCCATATGAAGATCTATATGCTGTATCTAAGGAACGATTGCATTGTAGATTTACTGAATATCTTAATTCATCAGCTAGATATAAAGGCGCTCTCAATCACGAATACTTCCCTAGAACTTCCTCAAAGCCTTGGTTTAATGATCTATCTTGGTGTAGAAACGAGATTGTTATGATCAATCGACTCAGATCTAACCACTATAATCTCAATAGCAGCTTACACAGAGTGAACATAGTAGAATCTCCTGCTTGCCCCTGTGGGAATAATAATCAAGATATCAATCACGTTATTTTCCAATGTGAAGTACATAAACAAAATTCTCTCCAACTACGAAACTATCTCAAATCCAAATTTCCTCAACACCCCGAAAACATATTTCCCGCCCTATCCAATCCCTCTCCTAAGCTCTGTAGGCTCCTCACGACATTCGCGGGGGCCTCCGATCTGTTCTTTTAGTGGTCCACTCCCTTCCACATGACGCGCGACCACCGCTGGGTGACAGCAGGCGCTTGGCTTGGGAGTGTTCCCCCTCTACCTTCGGTTTACCCACATTGCCTTTTAATACAGTCCATTACCCATCAATACTGCGCGGACACTCAATGGCTCAGTCCCAACCTGTCTGGTTGCGGAGCCAATTAAAAGAAGAAGAAGAAGAAGGTGTACTCTTAATTGAAGTATGATAGGTATTGTTAATTACATATTGAATAGTGGCCAACTGGCTGGACCTATTGATGTCCTCGGACACCATTTTTCTAAGAGATGATTTTAGAAATCTGTTTACTCGTTCAATGAGGCCATTCGCGCAGGGGGCTGCGACAGCTACTAAGTGATGATTAATTTTACGTGTTTGAAGAAACTTTGCAAATTCGTCCGAAATGAAGGCTGTGCCCCTATCTGTAATAAACTCGTCCGGATTCCCGAATATGTCCAATAGTGGGGCTAACTGTTTAATCACTTCACTTGAGGAAGTGGTTTTGACTGGAAATAACCAGGTAAAGCGAGTGAAAGCGTCAATTAGAGCTAAAATGTGTTTAGAAT